ATATTGCATCGATACAGCAAAATAGAAGTTTTTATGAAAATGGGCATCCTCCTTTCCACTGAAAAGTAAATCGTATCTCGCAATTAATTTCTTTCTATTTTTATAGTAGACATGGGGTCTTGCTCTTGCTCAGGCTGGTTTCGAACTCCTGACCTCGAGCAATCCACCCGCCTCGGCCTCCCAGAGTGCTAGGATTATAGGCATGAGCCACCGCGCCCGGCCTACCTTCACCTTTTCTACACCCCCCAACATACACACATTCATAATAAAATGGACAAAATTTTCAAGGACATTGCCTTGCCACAGCATTTTCAAAAAGAAAAAAATAAAAATTAAAAAAATTAAAAAAAAATTTTCAAGGACAAAATGATTTGTATAACTGAAAAGTTAGGTTTTTATTTTGTTGCTGTCAAGATGACTACCTACCTGATCTTAGGAAATTAGTTATGTGACATGCTCCCTCATTTCATCCATTACCTGTTCTGCAGAATTGGAATTCCACAGTAATGATAAACATAATTATAGTTGTTTTTCAAGTTCAAGGCGGTTGTTTTTTTTTTTTTGAAGACAGAGTCTCACTTTGTTGCCTGGGCTAGAGTGAGTGCCAGTGCCATGGCATCAGCCTAGCTCACAGCAACCTAAAAATCCTGGGCTCAAGCAATCCTTCTGCCTCAGCCTCCCAAGTAGCTGGGACTACAGGTATGCATCACCATGCTCGACTAATTTGGCCAATTAATTTCTTTCTATTTTAGTAGAGACGGGATCTCGCTCTTGCTCAGGCTAGAAGTTCAAGGTGTTTTTACTTTTAATCTAATAGTATGTTTTTAAATTCTTAGTGGTTTAATGATGCTGGTTGTATAATATTCAGTAAATATGTGTTGCTTTAGAATTATGAAGAAGGGGTTTCTAGGGCTTTTTCCACATATAAATGGTTCTCTACTTGCAGCTTGAACTACAGTCTAGAATTGCAGAATGTTGGAGCTGGAACAGCCCTTAAAGACTGACCCTCCAACTTCCCTGTTGTCCAAATGAGGAAACTGAGACCTTCAGAATTAAATGACTTTCCCCAGACAAAGTCAGAACTCATGTGGCTTAATTTCCCATATCAAATTCTACTATTCACTAGCCTCTGGCCTTTTCAAAGGCTTGTAAAACTACAACTTTTTTGTTTCAAAGAACTTAACTGCCACTGCATGCTCCTGGGAGGATCTTTCTGAGGTAGTTTATAACTCTTAAAAAAAAAGTCTATAATCTCAGAATCTTAGTTGAAATATTTAAGGCATTTTTATCCAATGGGAACTATAATTTTCATAGATTAAAGAAAACAAAGGAACATTGATAAGAAAGGAAAAGAGGAAAATTGAGGAGAGATGGGATAGGGAAGAAAACACAACTCTTGTAATCATGGGGGTTATTGAGACCTAGCAAAAAGAGTGGTAAGAAGATAAACAAATGAAGAATTAAAAATAAACACACGGAATAAAAAGAAACTACTAGGGAAAAGAAGGAGAAGATATTATAGAAATTATTCTATTTTTAAAAATCTGTTTTCAGACTTCCCTCATTTTCTTTGTATTTCTCATTGGCTTCCAGATGGAGGGAAAGTTTAAGATAGAAAAAAAAATTCTATGAGTCCCTTGCCACGCTGTTGTCATGGCAACAAGGTTTATCATAGAAAACATTTATTCATTGAACATTTATTGAGTTCCTACTGTGGAGTAAGCTTTTTACAGGTATTGAAGATTCAGGGAAAAAAGGACAACTTGTTGCCTTAATAAACTCATATTGAAGCTGGGCAGACCTATTTGTAATCAAAGTAATCTTAAATCAGGGTAGTAGGAGCTATTTCAGAAGTGTAAATAGGTGATGAGGGGAAGGGGGACTCTGGGGAGAGAATGGTTAGCTATGAATGGAGGAGTCAGGGAACTTTTCCTAGAGGAGATATTAAAGCTGGGACTTACAGGATGGAGGATGAAGCAGGGTTTGGCAGGCAAAAAAGCAGGGGAACTGCTGTCCTTGCAAATGGAATAACTCTGCCAACAGTATGGACTGGGGGAGAGTCTGGAAGCAAGAAAACCAAGTAAAGGAGGATTAAAATAGAAAATGCCGGCTGGGCGCAGTGGCTCACACCTATAATCCTAGGACTCTAGGAGGCCAAGGTGGGAGGACCACTTGAGGTCAGGAGTTTGAGACCAACCTGAGCCAAGAGCCAGACCCAGTCTCTACTAAATTGGGAAAAAATTGGCTGGGCATGGGCTGTAGTCCCAGCTACTCAGGGGCTGAGGCAGGAAGATCGCTTGAGCCCAGGAGTTTGAGGTTGCTAGGCACAGCACTCTAGCTGAGGTGACAGAGGGAGACTCTGTCTCAAAAATAAATAAATAAAATAAAATAGAAAATGCCAGAAGTGACAAGGGCTTGATTTAAAACAATGCTGATGTTTTTTTGTTTGTTTGTTTGTTTGTTTGTTTTTTGAGACAGAGTCTCCCTTTGTTGCCCAGGCTAGAGTGAGTGCCGTGGCGTCAGCCTAGCTCACAGCAACCTCAAACTCCTGGCTCAAGCAATCCTCCTGCCTCAGCCTCCCAAGTAGCTGGGACTACAGGCATTCGCCACCATGCCCGGCTAATTTTTGTATATATATATTAGTTGGCCAATTAATTTCTTTCTATTTATAGTAGAGACGGGGGTCTCGCTCTTGCTCAGGCTGGTTTCGAACTCCTGACCTCGAGCAATCCGCCCGCCTCGGCCTCCCAGAGAGCTAGGATTACAGGCGTGAGCCACCGCGCCCGGCAATGCTGTTTTAAAAGAGATGGAAAGGCGATACCAAATTCTAGAGACATTTCTGAGTTAGAATCTGTTATCAGGTTTCAGGTTTGGACAGGTTACTTGAACATATTGTGGGAAGTAATTCATTAGATATTTTACAGTTACAACTGTGCATCTCGAGCCAAATTAAAAATAGCATATTATATATATATATATCTCCCAATAACTACTACCCTCACTCTACTTTATAACTACACTCCCTAAAATAATCGTTTATAACCATTGTCCTTAATTTTTCCCCTTCCCATTCTGTCTTAGGTATTTGTCAACCTGCATTTTGCTACCTCCACTTTACCAAAACTGATCTATTGTTACCAAAACTTCCTACTTGCCAAATTCGATGAACAAGTTTAAGCTTGTATCTAAATTATGAACTCTGCAGCTTCTGAACTCAAGCAGCCCCTCCACAAACTGCTTTCTCCCTTGGCTTCTCAGATTTACAAAACTGAAATAATTATTCAGTTATTATAATTCTCACTCAAGCTTTTTTTTTTCCTTCTCTTTTTTCTTAATTAATGGAGTAACCATTCACCAAGTTGCTCAAGTCATAAACTTTGAAGTCATCCTCATTTCCTCCTTTTGTTTTACCCACAACCAAATAGCTGAAAAAATCTGCTGTTTAATATCTCTTGGGCCGGGCACGATGTGTCATGCCTGTAATCCTAGCACTCTGAGAGGCCGAGGCGGGCGCATCACTCGAGGAGTTCAAGACCAGCCTGAGCAAGAGCAAGATCCCCGTCTCTACTAAAAATAGAAAGAAATTAATTGACCAACTGAAAATATATATATACACAAAAAAAATTAGCCAGGCATGGTGGCACATGCCTGTAGTCCCAGCTACTCGGGAGGCTGAGGCAGTAGGATCGCTTGAGCCCAGGAGATTGAGGTTGCTGTGAGCCAGGCTGATGCCAGGGCACTCACCCTAGCCTGGGCAACAAAGTGAGACTCTGTCTCAAAAAAAAAAAAAAAAAAAAAAAAATCTCTTAAATTCACTACCTTAGTTAATAGCCTTATCAACTCTTAACTGTCAAAATTGCTTCTGAAGTTGTTTTCTGGCCTCTGTCCAATATAGCCCAGTTGGAGTGAGCTTTTGAAGACACAAATTTGACCATATCTTTCTCCTACTTAAAATAAGTCACTATTTTTTCTGGAAGAAAGTTCATAACTGTTTAGCCTGCTTAAACAAGGCCTTTATAATCTGAATCTCCTTTCCAAGCTTTTGCCAAACAAACTACATCACAAGTTGCATTTTATGTGAATTGAATTAGGCAAAAATAAAATAAAATAAAATAAAATAAAATAAAATAAAATAAAATAAAATAAAATAAAATAAAATAAAAAGTTGTGTAATACTATTATTTTTTTAAGATCACTGTGTCCTATAAATCTATGTACTGATTGACTAAATAAATATAATAGTAAACACTAGTAATCTGATCCAATTCTTGCCCCATACTGCTTGGTACATTTCAGGTGAATTACTTTCTTAAATATGTGTGTATTACATAGTATTAAAGTTTGTAGATATAGCAAAGAAATGGAATATATACACAAAGAAATATTATTCAGCCATAAAAAATAATGAAATCATGCCTTTTGCAGCAACATAGAGGGAACTGGAGGCTATTATCTTAGGTGAAACAACTCAGACACAGAAAGACAAATACTGTGTATTCTCACAAGTGGGAGCTAAACAATACATACACATGGACGCAGAATGATAGACAATAGAGACTCAGAAGGGTGGGGAGGTGGGAGGATGATGAAAAATTACTTAATGGGTACGATGTACGTTATTTGGGTGATGGATACACTAAAAGCCCTGACTTGATCACCATGCAATCTATCCATGTAACAAAATTACACTTGTACCCCATAAATTTGTACAAACAAACAAATAAATAAAGTTTGTAGAGAAGACCATGATAGCAATTATTTCACCAACTGATAGCTAGTTGAAACTTAAGAGTCCCTCTCAGGTTAACAAATGTCTTCCTTCTCAGTTAATGCAGTGATGAACAAATGCATTCTGACAATGATAACAGGCTTGTGCTAAACCAGCAGTCCCCAACCTTTTTGGCACCAGGGATCAGTTTCGTGGAGGACAGATTTTCATGGATGAGGTGGGGGAGGGATGGTTTTAGGATGATTCAAGCACAGAACATGTATTGTGCAACCTCTCTGCTAATGATAATCTGTATTTGCAGCCACTCCCCAGCGCTAGCCTCACCACCTCAGCTCCACCTCAGATCGTCAGGCGTTAGAGTCTCATGAGGAGCACGCACGCAACCTAGATCCCTCGCATGCGCAGTTTACACTAGTAGGGTTCACTCTCCTATGAGAATTAATGTCGCTGCTGATCTGACAGGAAGTGTAGGTTATGTGGTGATACAAGCAATGAGGAGCAGCTGTAAATAAAGATGAAGTTGCACTTGCTCTTGTGCTGCTCACCTCCTGCTGTGAGGCCCAGTTCCTAACAGACTCGTACCAGTGTGGGGTCTGGGGGTTGGGGACTGCAGTGTGAAATGATGAAGCCATAAAGGTGAATAAGGAAAATACCCTCATAAAGTTCACAATCTAGACATTATAGTTCTGATTTTTAATATTAAAGTTGGTTTGGGTTTTGGTAGAAAAAATGTTTAGACTTATCTCAGCAACCTTTTTATCCTTTGCTATTATTATTTTCCCCTCAGAGTCTTCCTTGTCCCCTCCTTTAAAAAAAAATTAGGTGATAATTCTAAATTGTAGGATTTCAGGAACAGTCAGGTTCTGGGACAGCTGGTGGCAGTGGTGGTGACTGGATCAATGTCACAAAAAGAAAGCTATTTGGCAACAGTCCTCTCCACTAGAAATGGCCAATGTGCTTTGTACCAGAACCAGCCTGGTTTCCTATCTCCCAGGGTCTTGCTCTTTAGTTAAAAGGGTGGTCAATCCCAAAGCCTTTTATACTACAGGATCATCGGGTTTCAATGAGTCTCATGTGGCCACTGCACCTCCAGAAATATGCTCTCAAACAGTGTGGCCTAATGAAACTATGGGACCATTTGGACCTCAGTATCAGAGATTCCAGCTTCCTGGGAACATAGGTTTTGATTATCATCTCAATGGGTGTACTTCACAGAAGAAAAGCCTGATTCATAAAACTTTGCCTGATGTTCTAGGAGAACCTTTATCAAGTGAAAGACATGAATTTGTTATAGCACAATATGCACCTGTTGAACAAGAAATTAACAGTGTAGAAACTTACTTTGAAAGTGCTACAGTGTACAATCCAAACATGTACAGAATTGCAAAGAGATTTTGAATCACTATTTCCAGAAGTAGCTGATAACAAACTAATGATTCTGACTGTAACACGGAATACTAAGAATGATATGACTGTTTGGAGTGAAGAGGTAGAAATTGAAAGAGAAATGCTCTTAGAAAGGTTCATCAGTGGTGCTAAGGAAATTTGCTATGCTCTTCAAGCTGAAAGATATTGGGCTGACTTTATTGACCCATCATCTGGTTTAGCATTTTTTGAATCATACGCAAACAACACTCTTTTTGAAATAGATGAACACTACTGACATCTAGGATTCTCGTCAGTGATCTTGGATGCTGTAAAATGATTTGTCATAGTCTCTGGGGTACCCATGTGTTTGTAGGAAGTATTTTCACTAATGCAACACCAGACAGCCATATTATGAATAAATTAATTGGAAACTATCAGTAAGGTCAATTTATTTTGCTATACTATTTGTATGTTACATTTAGGTTAATCTACAAACACTGTCAAAGACTTCAATTTTTTTTTTAATTTTGGCATATTATGGGAGTACAAATTTTAAGGTTTCAATAAATGCCCTTTCCCCCCTCCCCCCACAAGTCTGAGTTTCCAGCATGACCATCCCCCAGATGGTGCACATATCACTCATTACGTATGTATATACCCGCCCCCCCTTCCCCAAGACTTCAATTTTTAAAAGATACTTATTTCTAAGTATTTATTTCAACAGTTATAAATTTACAACATTCTCAAGTTATTTGTGATTTTTAAATTGCAAATGCCCATTATTTGTAATATCTTTTAATACACGTTGAAAACATCCACATCATATAGAATGTGGTAATTAGCATGTAATCAGGGTATGATCTCTTATTGTTATTTTTCCCCTTTGTTGGAAAAAAACCTCAGTTTTAATTATTTTTCTCCAATAATAAATCACACTTTGGTTAGTATAAAAAATTTCTAAATTGTAAATTTAAATATTTATTTAAATTTAAGTAAATTTATATTCTATTTAAATTTATTATTTTACCTAAATAAAATAAATTGAATAACTGTTCACATTTGGATGTGTATAAGAAACTAAACCTAGATTAAACTGTTAAATAGCCACCAATTAACAAGTATTTTGGGATAGCTTAATTTAGATTAAGTTTTTTTAACTGAGTTTTAATTTCCTGCTTACTCTGCCATACATGTTTGGCCTCAGATTATGCTAGAAAAAAAATTTGAGTCAGTTCTCTACCTATGAGCACATATTTATAAATGCTTCCCTATATACCATTGACAACTGTGACTCAACTATCTTCCTTAGAGCCTCAACCATAACTGCTCTCAGAGACCCAACGCACTACTGAATTCTAGGGTAGGGCTTCCTAATCATTTTTGTGGCATGGGCCTCCATGGGCAATCTGGTGGAGACTGTGGACCCCTTCTCAGAATAATGTTTTTACATACATAAAATTAAATACTTAGCCTTGTAAAGGAAACCCATTATACTAAAATCATTATCAAAAAAATTTTAATAAATTTTGATATAGTATACACGTGCTTTTTATTAACACATTAAATAACAAGATCTACTGGTAAAACTAATAACTTCTGTAATTTCAGAATAATAATGAGCTTAACCCATATTTTAAGGTCTCTGCAACAACAGTAACACAATAAGAAATATGTATTTCTGTTAGTGCCAGAATTTCAGGTACTACTAATAATATTGTGGTTTGTTTCCTATAGCTAATAATGGAAGGAATGCTAAATTTCCGTTAGAAGTTGACGAAAATAAGGCCAAGTATGGTGGCTTATGCCTATAATCCCAGTGCTTTGTGAGGCCAAGGTGGGAGGATTGCTTGAGACCAGGAGTTTCAGACCTGTCTGGGCAACATAATGAGACCCTGTCTCTACAAAAATTTTAAAAATTAGACAAGTATGGTGGCATGCACATGTAGTCTCAGCTACTTGGGGGGCTGAGGTAGGAGGATCATTTGAGCCCAAGAGTTTGAGGCTGCAGTGAGCTTTGATTGATTGGGCTACTGTACTCCAGCATAAGCAAGAATGTAAGACCCTGTCTATAAAAAAAAAGGTAGTGAAAATAAATATGTGGCTGGGCGAGGTGGCTCATGCCTGTAATCCTAGCACTGTGGGAGGCTGAGGCAGGTGAGGCTGAGGCAGGTGGATCACTCAAGGTCAGGAGTTCGAAACCAGCCTGAGCAAGAGCGAGACTCCATCTCTACTAAAAATAGAAAGAAATTAATTGGCAACTAAAAATATATAGAAAAAATTAGCTGGGCATGGTGGCACATGCCTGTAGTCCCAGCTACTCAGGAGGCTGAGGCAGGAAGATCGCTTGAGCCCAGGAGTATGAGGTTGCTATGAGCTAGGCTGACACCACGGCACTCTAGCCGGGGCAACAGAGGAAGACTCTGTCTCAAAATAAATAAATATGTAGGCTGGGTGGGCTGAGGCAGGTGGATCACCTAAGGTCAGGAGTTCGAGACCAGCCTGAGCAAGAGTGAGACACCCCCCCCCCCCGTCTCTACTATAAAATAGAAAGACATTAATTGGCCAACTGAATATATATATATAATTAGCCAGGCATGATGGCACATGCCTGTAGTCCCAGCTACTCGTGAGGCTGAGGCAGAAGGATGGCTTGAGCCCAGGAGTTTGAGGTTGCTGTGAGCTAGGCTGATGCCATGGCACTCTAGCCTGGGGAACAGACTGAAACTCTGTCTCAAAAGAATAAATAAATAAATAAATATGTAACTTTTTTCCCATCCAAGTTCACAGATTTCTCACATTTAGAACTCTCTCTCCATGACAAAATTCTGGAAGAATACACACCATATTGAAGTGAAGTGAGTGGAGCAGAGGTGAAGAGCAAAGAGAAGAATTTTAAATCTTTTCAAATCCTGTTATTACTTGATTTTTTACAGCAAGATTGTGTTTATGTGTTACTTATGTTAAAAGGTAGCATAATCCCAACTCTAAATCAAAAGCTGCTGCTGCTCAGGGAGAAGGAGGCCATCAAATGCCTGAGCCCTTCAGCCTTCTCCCACCCTGCTTCTACCCACAGATGGAAACACCATTTTTATTTTATTTTTTTGTTAGTTGATAGTTTTATTTATGTTAAATTCTAAGACAAAAGACACCAAAGATTTATGACAAAACTTCTCTCATTTGTCAATGACTTCAACAACTTCTATTCTTAATTAAATGACAATTTTGAATACTGGAAGAATAGTTCCTCAATTTTTTGTGTTCTTTGGTGTAATGACCACTGAAACAGCACATTTTTTAAGTTTAATATGCAATATTAACATTTTCTCCATCGCTTTTTTAAGTCTAGAGAATCAATAAAACAAGAAAGCAAGCCCTGATTTATACCATTTGTCAATTTTCATGATATAAATACTCCTACTGTGGCCAATTTCAAGCTGCCATGGTGACATTATTGTAAACAAGGTCAGAAAGAATCACCCAATAGGAGACCGTTATATAATACTTATTCCATGTAGTTACAATAATAGATATAAACAACCTCAAGAGCAGAGATAATGGTGAAATGTAGTTAGATAAATAAGAAGTGGTGAGGGTAACTTCATTTTTTATCATCATGTCACCATTAGCACTCTGACAGTGAAGTTACAAACCTTGAGCCTCTTACCCACAGGAGCCCATTGGTTGTAAGACAAGAATGAAACCAGTACCTAGTTAAAGGACAGGAAAAGGTGTATTTCCAGCACTTCAGATGCAGCTATATTGATATTGGTAATATATTTGTATTTCTCCAAGGAATACTAAACTAATAGTTCAGTTCAATAATGGGCCATTTATCTACCCTTTATAATATTGTTTAATGATAAAATGCTTTCTAGACTACAAATATCTGATAATTTGTAAGAGGACATTTTTTTTTTTTTTTTTTTGAGACAGAGTCTCACTTTGTTGCCCGGGCTAGAGTGCCCTGGTGTCAGCCTAGCTCACAGCAACCTCAAACTCCTGGGCTCAAGCAATCCTTCTGCCTCAGCCTCCTGAGTAGCTGGGACTACAGGAATGCACCACCATGCCTAGCTAATTTTTATATATATATATTTTTAGTTGTCCAGATTTTCTTTCTATTTTTTAGTAGAGATGGGGTCTCACTCTTGTTCAGGCTGGTTTCAAACTCCTGACCTTGAGCAATCCGCCCACCTCGGCCTCCCATAGTGCTAAGATTACAGGCGTGAGCCACCACACCCGATCTTATAAGAGGACATTTAAACATGGGTATTCACAAGTTGAAACTCCTGGCATTTATTAAGTGTCCAGATTGTTCATCAGCATGCTTGGAGAGAAGATGACTTCTGAAGTAAGAGGTAGTACAAGGTAATAATAGTAAAAGGTTCTTTTTATGTAAAAGATACAATCATTGCCTCTTAACACATGGCTCTTTGCTTTCCTTAGGAATAAAGATGGCTGCTGAAATAGACGATTGCAACTGCATCAATTTTGTGGGAATGAAGTTTATTAACAATACACTTTACTTTATACGTAAGTCTAAAGCCAAAGAAAAAATACCAGATTCAGATAAATGTATTCAACTAGAGAAGATGTGAAGTGAACTATTAAGTGACTCTTTTTTGCCACCAAATTTCATTGTGCAATGTTAATGACTCTTCTTTAAAAAAAAAAAATTGGACCAGCGAGGTGGCTCACGCCTGTAATCCTAGCACTCTGGGAGGCCGAGGCGGGCGGATTGCTCAAGATCAGGAGTTGGAAACCAGCCTGAGCAAGAGCGAGACCCCGTCTCTACTATAAATAGAAAGAAATTAATTGCCCAATTAATATATATAGAAAAAATTAGCCGGGCATGGTGGCATATGCCAGTAGTCCCAGCTACTCAGGAGGCTGAGGCAGTAGGATCGCTTGAGCCCAGGAGTTTGAGGTTGCTGTGAGCTAGGCTGATGCCACGGCACTCACTCTAGCCTGGGCAACAAAGTGAGACTCTGTCTCAAAAAAAAAAAAAAAAAATTAAAATTAAAAAAAAAAAATTGGACCTCTAGAAATTAACCATAACATGTCCAAGGTCCTAGCACTTTGTCCCACCACAAGTCCTGGCACTTTAATTAGCAATATCCCACTCTCAAAGTGGCAAACAGTGCACATCATGAAAATCCCTCAAGACTGGGTACATTCAGGAAATACAATTTCCCAAAGCAAAGTGGCAAATAACATAAGAGATTCCCTGAATCTAGAGTTCTGTGAGTGAGTCATACCATTTTATGTAAATATATTTGACAAGTAAAAATTGATTCTTAAGATTAATCTTCCAGAGCAATTTGGCTTTCTTTGAAAGAGTCATAAAAAGTCCCCAGGTGACTTTTCATATAAGCAATACATTTAAGAGTAAAATCCATCACTTTATAAAATTTCTTTTTAGCTACATATTGAAATTTATAAATCCTGGGTTTAAGTTTTATATCTAACTTACTTGAGAACACACTAAATCTAATTGATCTTCATTTTATGGGCCTTTGGAATGATGATATAATAATCTGA